GAACTTGGTAGAGAATTCGTATTGTGCATTAGAGAATTGATCCCCAGTCTTTAATGACTGAACACGCCCACTCTACAACTCATCAAGCCATAATGAAGATGTACTAAAGCTGACTGAATGGAGTATTTAAAGAGAGAAACTCATAATTCATGCCCGTGTAACGTAATCGGCTTTATATCTCCTATTAAAAAAACAACAACATTAGAATGTTGGCATAATATCTGATGCTATGTTATGTATTATATAGTGTTTTTTTTTGAGGGACACCCGTTCATAAATTCTTGAAATAAAGTTTTAATATGTAAGTTAAGGGCTGAGATTCCTTTGCCTTTAAGAAAATCTCATATTTTTACTTTATTTGTATGTATATCTCATTTGCTGCATTAGCTGGATCTTCTAAATATTCAACGTTAAATTATAGAATTGTCTGGCGCGTTGGATAATGATTTAACATTATCAAAATCTAAGCTAATTACGAGGGCGGGTCAATAAGTTCGTGACTTTTTGAATAAGACACAGGTTTTATACAAAAAGTTATTTTATTTTTCAACGTAGTCTCCTTTGAGTTCTATACACTTAGTCCAACGTTTCTCCAATTTTTTTATCCCTTCCGAAAAATATGATTTGTCGAGGTCATCACAATAGGCATTTGTTTGTGAGATGACTTCGTCGTTGGAGTCAAATCTCTTTCCGCCGAGCCATTTTTTCAAGTTTGGAAATAAGAAATAGTAACTTGGGGCTAAATCTAAAGAATACGGCGGATGAGCGAGAAAATTCGTAGCCCAATTCATGGATTCTTGCCATGGAAACTGCACATGTGTGCACCCTTGCATTGTCCTAGTGGAAAAGAACTTTTTTCTTAGCCAAAGGCGGTCGTTTTTTTTAAGTTTCTCATTAAATCGACTCAATAAGTTGGTATACCAACCATATATGGTATACCATATAATATTCGCCATTGATTGTTTTACCCTTTTGAAGGTAGTCAATGTGGATTAATAATAAGCACTCGAAATTCGCTTTTTTCCATTTTCTTTTCAAAACGCGCGGTAGTCTGCTATTAACGACTGCAAAACACAAATTAAATGACGCGGCTTGTTCAAATTTTGGCAGAAGTCAACTGACAGCTGCCTGTTGATAGGTGCAGTGTTGCAATTTTAATTAAAAGACGGGAAATTAAAAAAGTCACGAACTTATTGACCCGCCCTCGTATACTGTGCTATTGCGTACTTATTATGAAGAGGAAAGATTTGACTGTTGCAATGCCAACATTGAATAGGCTTCGAAACTGCTTGATCTATTTGAAAATTTATTTTATCATTTAAGTTCATCCTTCAATATAGAAGGATAATCCTTCATGGACATAGGCGGTGGAATATTCTCAAAAGTGTCAGGATCTGTGTGTAAAATGGCGCGGGCCGCTAATAATAAAAAATAAAGCAAAATTTACGGGCATCGGTTCATTAACTGTTTACAATTTTACGTTGAAATTACATAGAATCTGACGCCGTTGTGTGGTAAGGGCAAAAGGCAGAATATTAATATTAAAATCTTTTTATAAAAAGTAGAACCGACGTCAAAATTTAAAAAAGTGATAAATAATACTTATCTCAAAAGCGACTTATTCAAGAAAACGGGCGGAGGATTTCTGTAGGTTATTAATTAAATGATAGGCGCCTGACTTCAATAGCATCTTCTTGAATAAGTAGCTTTTGAGATAATGAATACTAAATATGCATTCTTTTGTTTTTTCTCTGAAATGAGTTATGTTAAAACATATCATCTTAATATTTAGGTAATATCTGTTGGAAAGCGTATTTGTTTTGCTATAAATAGAAAACTACTTATTCGATTTAGATAAAATTTAAATGGGACCACCTCGATCCATCAAGTTGTCGAATAGAATAAAAAGATTTTTGTGAATCGGTCAACAATTGACGAAAATAAGGGTAAAAGATATACATCGCCGTTGAATATATAATCTCCTATTTTTCGATTTTGAAGTTCGTTAAAAAAACCGAAGCTAGCTACGCAGAAATACTGAGAAAAATGGAATATAAAAAAGATGCAATCCAAAAAAAATCCAAAGGACTCGCATCTGTTTTGTTATGTAATTTTTACTTTCTGAAATAAACATTTAAAAATAAAATAGAACATTATCTTGTTTTTGTATTACAAACAAACACAAAATAAGCGCCATCTACGGATGAAATTGACTACTAGTTGCTGACAGTCGATGCAGCTTCAGAGTGTAGGTACTCACATCAGTCGCCATCTACTGATGTTTTATAGAATTCTTATTCTTATATTAGCTTATCATCACAGATGTCGCTAAGACCTCTAATAAAACAATGAAAAATTTCACAATTATTTATTTAATGATTATAATTCCATTTATTTATGGTTATAATAATAATTAATATTCTATCAATCTATTCACTCAGAATGTGCGAGGTAGGCATACGGTGCCAAACGCTAACGGGTCTTATTTTAAAATCTATCGTAGTCCCTTTCAATTTGATATTTATTTTTAAGATATTCACGAACTTCACGCTACAACTATTATGTGTTAGCGATTGCAATCTTTTTTTGAAAGACATTGAATGAACGATATTCGAAAACTATTGAGATATGTCAAATGATTCTATCTCCACTCTTTCAATCGATGTAAGATTCATTCATTTCATGCAATCATTCATGTCTTAAGTCTTCGACTTCAAAATGTACACAATTCCATAAATCGGTAGTAGAATTTATAATTAGACAATTAGCCCACAGTAAGCGGTTTCAGTGCTGGCGCCAAATACTGACCGCATCCTCAGTAGCACGGTTGCCAACTTTTGAGAAACAAAATTCGGGACATTCGAATAGTCATCGTACTTCACCTTCAAGTATGTCACAGTAAAATAAAAAAAAAAAACTTTTGGATTGCATCTTGGCGGGACCAGCTTGAAGGATATCAAAAATCGAGACAAATTTAATAAGAAATCGGGACGCGGGATAACATCATTGAAATCGAGACTGCCCCACAAAATTCAGGACGGGTGGCCACACTAGAGTAACACTGAGTCGGTTCTATTTCGGAGTTAGTTACTGAGCCCGAATAACATCGGTTTTCACCATGTTAAATAGGTAAATAAATTAAGTACGGTACCTGATGTTCTCGCAGCTTGCGCCTCAGCTCGTGATATGGCGCGGCGCGTGCGGCGGCAAGCGAAGGCGGCGGCAGGCGGCCCTCCATGCCGTGCAGCCACCGGCGGAGGCAACGCAACTCGTGCGTCGTGTCTACACGTGACATCACAAATTTAATACTAATAGAGAACATCAAAGAACAGGGATGACGATTACTTTTTGTTTGTTGTTTGTTTATCCGTTAGGTAGATTATTGAAGAATATTAAATATGTATTTTAAAAATTTTTGGGTAATCAATAAATTATGGCGATTCATGAGTTGAAATATCGCATGACGTCACGCTTTTGTACATTTCCACAAAACTGTGACGTAGCGAGTCCCCACTCTTCAACTTTAATGGCTATTATCTAAGCAATTTCTTGTTTAAATTGAAGTAAAAACAATACCTACACCAGTATGTAATATTTTACTATCATCTGACTGATGGACTAAATAGGATTTCTCCTTTTTTTACCTAGTCGTCATCCCTAATGACATTGTCTATGACATTAGGACAGGGATTCAGTTCTGCTCTTTTTTGTAATAATCTCATTTGGATAGAATCTCAACTACTTGCGTTTTGCCATTGTACCATCTGCCTGATTCTATTGAAATTTTATTATCACGTAAATGTTAGCAAAATTTGCCTGCTAGCAATGAGTTAGATAGGGACAGAGTAAGTGAGTAGATAAGGACAGAGTGGATTTGAGCGTCAAAAATAGCTTTATTTATATATACCGTGGGAAAAAAGGGTAACTTTTGTGGGTGATTGTGATTTTGTTTTTATAAAATCATGAAATCATGAACCCTTACAAATATTATATGACTTTTAGAAAAATAGCTTTTGTTTTAAATTATCTTGGACTTGCATGTTAGGGTGTCCCGAAAAATTTTTTTTTTCGATTTTCTCTACTCAAGACCCCTCAAAAGTTGCGTTCTTACTCTACCCATAAAATAAAAAAAAATAAAAAGATATCTTGAGGGCTCTACCGGCATTTTTATAAAAAAATATAATTTAATTTACCTTCCAGTCAATGTCGTATATACTATTTTATATACATTACTCCCATTTTATTTTATTGATAGTGAAACCCTAAACTACGATTTGCAGGTAACGACAGGATGTTTTCAGTTAGGAATTGGTTCTGATCGAACTCGCAAAATTCGTGTTTTGATTTGTTTTTCTCAAATTCTATACTTCTAGGGTGAGGCAGTTCGTTTCATTTCTTTTGCAGTTTCATTGCTGTAAGGTAGCGCTCCGTACTTTCTTGTGATGAAATACGTGTTTGTCTTACATTTTAATAATAGGTTCAAGGCGGAGTAAGACTACATGTACTATTTTGGGATCCTATAAAGAACTTATTGTTCGTCAGTTACCAGTGATAAGTGACGTTATCAAATTCATTTTGTTTACTAAAAATGAACTGAAATAACAGAAGAATGGGAAATATCCTTCTAACTCAGAAGATTTTTAATCGTTTCTGAAAAACTTAGTGCGATTTGGACCAAAGCCTTGATTCCCACCGTTTCCAATGTACAAGTTATCCAATTGCTAAAATCATATTTCGACAAATACCTGTCATTGATAAGATATCCCAAAAATAAAAGAAATAATAGCTACGAAAGCAAAGTGAAGTGTTTTTTTAGAATCATCGAACAAGCTCTACGATATTGCTGCTTGTAAGTACACTTCATTTGACATTTGTTCCTGCATAAAACCAAAGAAAGTTCCTATTTCTGAAAGAGACTTTTTACTGAACCAAAGAAGTGGTAGAAAAATGGCAATAAGCGATATAGGCACAAAAGAAACGACAAGACATTTGAAGAAACATCAGAGACAAGAAAATTTGAAGCGGTTAGAGCACACATGTTTTCCAAGTACACTCCAAGAAACCAATCTTGTTCCCGTGCGCGAGTTGCCGCCGAAACCGCAGTCGCCAGCAACAGAGCTTTCTCCGAATGACGTACGTGTAAATGAGACTCCATCTACTTCTTTCAATCGGAACACTCTGGCGCTGCCAACAGTAGTTAAAGTATGTGAACGGCATGGACTATCAACGCGATCTGCTGCTGCGGTCGCTTCGGCGGTCTTAGCTGACGTAGGATTGGTCTAAGGTCTCTAAAAATCTAAGCTTTGTTATCGATAAGAATAAACTTCATAGAGCTGTTTCAGAAGCACAGACTAAGGCCAGGAAATATATTGTAAAAAGTATCTACTTTTATGGACGAAAGGAGAAAACACCCATAAACGATAAAATAGGCGATCGGTACCAACGCAGAGAAGTCTTGCAAGAGCACATTTCAGTTCTCACAGAGTAAGGATCTATTTATTTGGGTCATATGACGCCAAGTCATAACACTGCCAAAGGGATAGCCGATTCTACCATATCTTTGTTAAAAAGTCATGGGAATAAATTGGGAGAGGTGATCTGTGTTGGTTGCGATGTTGGGAGGGAGGTGTCATTAAATATCTGGAAAACTATTTAAAGTTGTAATGGTGTGTTCGTATGCTTCACGCGAATGAATTACCGCTTCGCCATTTATTCGTGTCTCTGAATGGTAACACATGTGGGTCTTAAGAATAATCAGGACCAATTGGAAAACAGCTAGCTGTTTGTGAAAATAAACCTCTACGTCTTTTTGTGCATTGGCTGGCAATGTGCCCAAATTATCTGATAATATTATGAAGAAGAAGTAGCTCGCGGCGTAGTGGATAAGCGCCGCGGCCCGCGATCGTTGTCGTTAAGCAACTTTCGCAAGGGTCGGTCACGGGATGGGTGACCAAAAAAATTATTATCTCGAGCTACTTCGTGCTTCGGAAGGCACGTTAAGCCGTTGATCCCGGCTGCATTTGCAGTCGTTAATACCCTCCAATCCGCATTGGGCCAGCGTGGAGGGTCATGGCCCATCCTCCTTAACCATTCATAAGGAAGGCCAGTAGGCCAATCCTGCTAACGTTTACGTAATAATAGCGTGTCAATAGGATGTCAACTACTCGCATTTTGCCCTTGTACTATCTACCTGAACTCCAATATTATTATATATCTGACTCAATCGATGTGTGAGGAAGACATTGAACTAATAACATTGAACTTTATGTAGATAGTACAATGGTAAAATGCAAGTCGTTGAGATTCTATCGAGATGCGATTATAACGTAAACATTAGCAGAATTGGCCTGCTGAGCCCCTGCAGTGGGGACGTAAAAGGGCTGGTGGTGATTATGAAGAAACTATGAACTACGTGGTTAAAGTTTACGCCCCTGTTTGATTCCTCATCAAACAAAACTCATCCTTTAGATATGGAGCCAAGCATATTTTTCAAACGATTGTGGACTCTCAATTTTTGCCTGATAATCAGAAAACCTACTTATTGCCATATTATTCGACGACAAAGACCACATTCCAGAAATTATATCTCGCAAAATATTAAAGACTAGAGAAGCAGAAAAGAGTAACTCTTGCAGGGTATTTTAAAAAACATTAATATAATATTTTGGCAATCACCAATTTTGTGACATCTGCAAAGATGACATTAGAATGAAGGCTGAAGAACACAACTTCGACATTGTTGACTCCCCCTATCACACACAGGCAATGGAAAGATGTGTTAAAGTAGTGACGGAGTCTTCTCAAATTGTCATGGGCGCTACAGCTCGGGATGTTTTCAATAGGAACAGATTAATATCTCGCGCGGAAATGCCTAATTTTAGGTAAAAAAACCAGTTCCGTTTTTAAAATAGCCACTTGTTACTTGACTTTCAACTATTTTAAACCTTGCTTTGACTCATTATTGTACCCATAAATTTAATAAAAACCATTTTAACTTTATTTTTGATTGATTTATAGTTTATGTTAGGAACCCCTAAAAACGGAAAATCTGAAAAACTTAAAGGACTGGTGAAGGCCCACAGATGACAGACATCTAATTAAATTATAAGATAATCGTAATAAATGTGTCAACACTCAACTTTTGACACCTCTTGCATAACCGTATTTAGATTTTTTTTCCCATACATGGAAGGTATAACTCAGGGTAAAGAATGAGATATTGTTTGGGTCGATCTGACCTGGGTATAAAATTTCGACAGACTTTGCGATTTGCATTTAACCGATTTCGGTCGCTTACTTAAAGTTAACTTATTTTATCGATTAATGCATATTATTTAATGTTGTTTTATATTTACCTATTAATATTACTTTTAAAGCAAAACCTATTGATTAATAACATTTATAGTAAATATTACACAGGTAATTTGAATTCCGGTTATATGTCGGAATACCTGTCGTTATAAAACTTTTTATTAGTTTAGGCGTTTTATTTTCTAATAATTGCCATATTTATTAGCATCATAAATAATAGTAGTCATATTTATTTGTTTGCTATATTATCAAATCATTAAAAATAAAAAGTAAAAAGAAATTAAACTTTTACCTACGAGAAGCTACATCATACGCGGATGACATCACCTATAATTTACGTAGGCGAAGTCAGAGGAAAACAAATAGTTATAAACACTAGCCATTATGTTACTAGATATTTTCTTCACTGTTGCTCAGATTGATATATCTTAACGTCTTATGTGCGATTTCAAGACGCAAAGTAGGTACATAAAAACACTATTGAATATACAATGTTAAAATCTAGATAAAAATAGATGAGAACTTCCTTACCGACTGTATCAGATCCTTCACCGTCCTTATTTTGTTGTTCGGGGCTCAGTAACAGCCGCAATCCTTCCCATTTCACATTCAAATGTTCCATACGCCATGTCACCTAAAAAGTGAACAAAATTAACTTGTCTATTATATTTATTATTCCATTCTGTTGTCATCGCTTTAAGCCGAAAAGTCGACAGTGATTTGCAGTAGGTAATCATTTACAGCGCATTATTTACAATACGTCGAAATTATGCAACTTTTAATATCATTCCAATCAATATCAGTAACTCTTGTATCAGTATTTAACAACCAAATGCGTCACATCAATACTTCTTGCGCTATCATTGGCAACAAGTAGAACAAAAAACAATATTTTGAATACATATTCAAAATCGCGTGTGCCTTTTGTCTTGCAATGTTATCTGTTATAAGTTGTAATGTTTTGACAAATGAAATATACCCTTCCATGTTCCAATTAATGAGTTTTCTGACTTGGTATTGTCGAGTTACTTGATTACAGACAGTAGTTCTTCAAGTTTAACGACCTCCTTAACCGACTAGCTCGACGCCAGTTTCAAGGTTTCACCATTTCTAAGGACCCAGGTTAGATTCCCGGTCGGGTCAATATAGACAATGTATTGTCTCGGGTCTTGTTATTGTGTTATGTTTTTTGCTTCAAATTTCCATAATACAAGTGCTATAGCTATATTAGAAAAAAAACTAATACTTGTTTAACTCTCACTGACTCTAAGCTCGAAAATAACTGTAAGGCCTTTTGTTGTAGCCTAATATACAGCTGTGCTGTTGGCTCAGCGTTTGTAGCATTTGCGAAATTCGAATACTTTCTATGTTAATATTTTATGTGAACATAACAATATAATAGCAATATTTACCTCTGCACTTGCTTCTGGTATCCTCTCCAAGATAGCAGAGGCTTGTTCTATAAACTTCACTCTTCTTGGTTCCACTGATTTCAACTCCGACATTCGACTCTGAAAAAATACAAAATATTTATCTGTCGTTCTTTATAATTATAATAATGATTATTATTATTAATTTATATAAATAATAATACTCGATAAATTATTGGTCTGACTTTTCAACAACGTAAAAACACATTGTAACTGACTGTTTTAGTATCTTTTCTTTTTAATTCAATAAAAATATAAAATTTATGAGTTAAAAGGCATGTATCATAATGTGCGGCATGGAAAAAAGTTGCGACTGCGCAAAAATACACTTTCGGGTTTTTATTAAGGTTCGGGGGTGAGTCGCAACTCGTAACTTTTGCAAAGTGTACCAGAGACCCAAAATTGGAAAACCGGGATATCGCTATTTTGATTTAACTTATTTGTCAAGCATATCAAAGATTTTATACACGTGCCCAAAGTTAATCAAAGACGCTATAGCGCCGTACTTACCGTCCGCAGTTTTCTACTGGATAGGTTCTCTGGACTAGAATAGATTTCCTCCTGCACATGTGTGAGCCATTGACACAACTCTGTGAACTCTGCAATCAGCTGGCTGAGCGACCACTGCCGGTTAAAACCCGACGTAGGGTTCAGCAGCCGGGGCCCATGTTGCAACACTGACGAATTGTGCGATAGCAATTCGCCGTTTGCCTCCTGTAAATTCAAATTTATTGTTTAGACAGAATTTGCTACAGTAGACGCTAAGGACGTAGAAGTCGTGGATGACAAGACGCATCCCTATTAAGTTAAATTAAAAGATGAGTTCATGAGGTATGAAATTGATCTATTTTAATTATCCTCTTGCGAGCTCTTGATAACTTCCCCACTGCTGGGGTACAAGCACAGGTTTTCCCTATGGATGGAATCAAATAACTAGAACGCGACCTAACAAACCACGCGGGCTCAGTGCGGATTCGTAGCCTACTCTACAGTTGAAAAATTACTTCGTGCTCCTAATTTTTTATTTTCTTCCTTTGCAGTAAAACATCTCTTGAACTGGTATCAAGCAGCTTTCTTCAAAGCGGAAAACACACTAATCTACACTAATAAAAATAAAGTGCAAATCCTGATATTCTCACCTTACAAGTATCGATGATCTGATTATCCATAATATAATCGTAGTGATGTTGAAGTAGGGGCCAGAGATCGTCGATGGCGCTACCACCACTAGCTGCAGAGCCCCAACTTCGTCTCCAAGCTTCACGACATGGCTCTTTTCTGGAAAACACGAACAGGCATCATCAATATAAATATCTTGGCTTTAATAAGCCCAAAATTAACGTCTTTTTTATATATCACATTATTCTAAACAAGTAAATAATTCTGTTCAGAATTGAAACCAAAAAATCGTGTGAATGCAGGTGAAAAAGCAGTAAAACCACTTATGTTCTAAGTGAGCTCTAATTGAGATGGCTCTCTGGTTAGCACATTCGAGTTATTTCAAGACAATTAATGCAACGACTAATAAATCAGACGGGTTACGAAAATATATGATTTGGTGCTCATCTCTGCTTCGAAAGGCTTTTTGCTGCATGCATTTGCAGAGCTATTAGCAAAATATCACTAGTATAGTATTAGAGTACAGTAGTCATTACGATCAGTTTCACAAACACTACATTGATAATGGTATTCGAACGAAAGTGATAATGTGAGAATTAATGTAAACATCACATTTTATGATAGAGGCACTTCACTTTGCAATAAGCGAACACGTGTTTCATAAGTCTTATTAGCAAATAACCAAGTAAAAGTGCCAACATTACGCTGAAGATTTGTGAATGAGATTCTGATATTTTGGAAATGCTTTCGGCCCCTGTTGAAAGCATGGAATACCGTGAAAAAAGAGAAAAAACAGAGCAGAAAACAGGTTAAAACGATCGTTGAGGAATGTTTTTGACAATAAAAGTAGAAGCCTGAAAGCGAGCACCTTGCAGTACCTCTACCTCCACAACACAGTACGGATCCCAACTGCAAACGTCGATAACACTAAAATAGTTTTGTACCATGCGCATATTATATTTGAAATTAATGTTTTGCAAGTAATTTCACCATGCTTTACATAACGAAACTAGTGTCATTACACCATCTACGCATAATAAAACTTCGATGCTGACGGAGCCTTTGTTTTAGAGATAATGTTGATTTTACGCCCTAGTTTCACATGTACTGTAATAAGAATGGGTAAAAAAAATAAACTCTGTTTAGTCCGTCAGTCATAAAAAAAATATTAGATACGCAATTTTGCATCAATTTGTCAAGAAACGGCTTAGATAAACGACATTTAGAGAAGTGGAGGCTCGCTACGTCACGACTTTGTAGAAAATATACAAATTTGTGTCATCATACAACGTTTCAACTCAAAATATCGCTGTATTTTTTGTATTGATTACAAAAAATAATAAAAAAATTCAATATCCTTCAATAATCTGACGGTAAACTAAAAAAATAGTATCATCCATATTAATTTTGTGCTTAACTTATATGTAATGACATCTAAGCGTCTAAAATGTCTAAAATGGAGACGTCAGAGTTTACTAATTTTAATAAAAAAAATATGCGTAACGAGGAGACTGATCTCTTCTTCGATAAACAGGAAGTTACGTGGTCAACCCATTGATTGTCATCCATGCTAACCAAAGCCCTTTCCTATTTTATTAATAAATCACGTTTTCGAAATGTTTGCTTTCTTGATTATTCAAATCAGTGGGTGTTTTCGCACTTGTACATTGGATAGAGATTAACATATATGTAGGCGGGCCAAAGTAAACACCGTGTGGGCAGTGATCGCACCTTGAACTCTAGATGCGCTTTCTTCAGAATTTGACATGTATGCTGCTCGTACTCGTTATCTTTAGAATAAGATATGTATAAATTATTTTTTTCCGCACATATCTCGCCAGTGTGACGAATAGTTTTGCAATTGAAATAAACACATCTATTTATCTAGATTTCGGATATCTTAAGGCAGAAACCAAAGATTCCTATATTCCTATATGTATACTACAGAAGAAGAAAGTTGAGGGAAACATATTCTTGCGTTGTGTCATCAGTTTTATTCTAGTATTTAAAGTTTTAAATACTACACGTGATAACAACAACACACGACACACCAAAAGTACTTATAATCAATGCATGGTAGGAGTAGTATTCAGCAGGGATCAACGACGTACAAAAAGCTTACCAAATATGACTGTCTTATTACAGTTGTACAAAACCTTTTATTTACTAAGTGAAAGATCATGAATCCCATTACCAGAATATATAAAATATATAAATACATTTAACAACATCACATACATTGCTCAGATTCCAAGATGAGCAGCTAAAGCCCCCGTATTATGGAGTATCTGAGACAACGAAGATCACACAACACCCAGACCCGAGACAATATAGAAAAGTTCATTTTCTACATTAACTCGACCGGGTATCGAACCCGGGACCTCAGAGATGGCGACACCTTGAAACCGGCGTGCGAACCACTCGGCTACGGAGGTCGTCAAATAAAGTTTTGAAATTGAATAATTGACTAACAATATTGTGAATAATTAAATAGTACATTAAATAATAGTTTACCTCTTTTTAGTGAGGCTGTGGTAGGGCCTCTCGAGTTGCTCACAACGCCCACCAGGAGGCGCTGGTGCGTTACCAAGTGACGACAGCGAAAAGCTGCTTTTCATAGCAGAATGCTCGAAACCTGAAAAATAAATGACATGAATTTATAAAACACGTTGAAAGAAGTTTGAACTACGTATTTATAAATAAAATATATAATTGTAATAGTTATCTTTGTTATATTCATGGATTCATAGGTTACATAGATATTTCAAAATATATCACATCATTAATCTATACCTGATATCCCCTCTGCTGGGACTTGGGCCTTCCCCCTGCATATTTTTTTTCACCTATTGTATGGCAGGCCCTTGCGAATGTTGCTTAACATCTACATACAGATCAGATCGAACGTTTTAACCTGGCCACCCACACCGGAACCAAAATATATTAATAATACTTATTACTTACTTTTTTTCGAAATCGGATATTTCGGCTTAAACAACTTTCTAATAAATATTCAATTTAAAAATAATTTAACTGGAATATTTACAAAAAGAAATGACACTTACTGGTAGTCATCTTCACAGTTCTTCTTAGGAACTTCTAAAATAATCAATTTAATGAAAAATTGATTTTAGCGTTCCAAACGACGATGTTTGTACTGTCTCATCAATTCCTTAATCTTTGTACTAGATTCAACTCTCAACTTCAGTACTTCAAAATTACAGTCTAAATTGCTTCGTGTTAAAAAGTGCTGTGGCGACTAGATTCGTTATAATTAAAGTTATATGTATAATAAATATTCGTCTTAATCATGTGATCGAGATGATCCATGAATTTGAAGATTGCGTTTTGTTTTGGTCGGTGCTTCGGTGGTCACATTTTGGATTGTGTAGAGTGGCGCCCTCTCTCTCTGCTTGTTTTGCTTTACCGCGGCGGTCCTGGAAAGAAAAAGAAATACATTTATCAATTTTCGCAAAAAAACCAAAGTCATATACAAACCAAACTAATCGTAATATGAATCTTTCAATCTGTGTATTTGTAAACTACGTTTCTTCGCTTAATTATAGCTTAACCTAAGATTTTGGGTCGTGTATATATTTATAATGTAGAGAAATTTATTTTACATTAGATACCTTTTATTGCGAGTAGAATAAATAAAACTAGGTCCTTAGTTATTAGGACAGTGTAATCACTACATTTAATTTTGTTAATTATAAAAAGTTGAAGAGACATCATATTTTTCCCTAAAGTATGATACGTGCGTGTGATAATGGGTTTGCTCCTAAAACTAAATTCAATATAGGTAAAGCTTTTGATCTTTGCTTGGAAGCGATACAAAATGTGTTGAAACTATTGAAATTAAATACATCCGAATTTTAATAGAGATGAAGGTTGGCAATGTACGAGTATATATAAAATAATTTAATTTAATCAATGTAAACGTTGCCAAAAAATATATATATTTTTGTATTGTGAATGTGTCCAATAGTATTGTGTTTTGAAGGTAGCTATACTAGTAGTTAAAAAGACAATCAACACCTTAGTTTTATGTGAACATGGAACCTTTAAAGAGACCGAAATCACAAACGCAAAAAGTCCCCAGGTGCCGATGGCATTTCCAATATGGTCCTGAAGTTCTTCCCTTCAGAAGTCGTCACACTCATTTTAATGCCTGTTTCAATCAATGGTTCTTTCCAACCACGTGGAAGGACGCAATCGTAAAAGGCATCCCAAAACCGTGGAAACCAGCCTCCGCCTATCAGCCTCCTCAAGGCCTTAGGGAAACTCTTGGAAAGGTGTATTCTCTCCCGAATCGTGGATTATATCTCTACCTGTTTCTTCCCAGGCAAAACAAATAAACTGTAGTAGTCTTTTCGATGTTGCCAAAGCCTTCGATAAGATTTGGCACTCAACCGTCATCGTCAAGCTACACAGATTGAACCTATCCTTAAGATGGGTTCGTCTGATAGCTTCCTTCCTCGAACTTCGCACCTTTCACTTTAGACACGAAAGCACCCGCAAGGCTCAGTACTTGCGCCACTCTTGTACATAGTGGACACCAACGACATACCCATTCCCCTTAAGGAAGTGGAACTCTCGCTCTTCGCAGAAGATACGGCTCTGTTTTACCGGGACTCTAGTTTGCCAAAATCTTTCCCAGGCTTCAATCTTCCATTGATGCCCTAAGAGCCGTCACCTCCCCCTCAAATACCACCCCCACCAAATCCCCCAAATGCTAGGGAAACGCATTCCCTGGCAAAAATCCTCCAAATATCTCGGCGTGACGCTCGACCAAAGGCTCTCCTTTGTTGCTCACGTCAATACACTCACCCAAACTGCCCAACGTTATCTATTTTGACTCAGCCCTATGCTGGGCCGACATAGTAAAATGTCTCTCCGAAATAAGCGAACCTCTACAAGGTCTGTATATGTCCGGTGATGACGTACGCCTCTACCGTATTCGCCCACGCCGACCCTTAAGTCCTCTACAAATTGCAAATATGTTTTATTATTGGTTTATTTTTGTAATTTTGTTGGTTAAATAAAATCGGATTGTGAGTTTAATTGGCGTTAGATTTTTATCCCGAACCGTAAGTCGTATAGTGGTATCTTCAAAGTTGAACAGTTAAATCATTTTATTCTAATATTATTTATCAATAGCGGATTTTTGCTAAATTTGTAATAAATAAATGTGTTTCGTATCCTGATCCTTGACAGTTAACACACACAGTGGCAGGCTTTGTACAGCCGCACAGTAGAAGGACGTTGTGACGCTTACTCAGCAAGCCGCTTAATTAGACGGATGTTTTACCCAGTTGGTTACGATATATTCATTATATATTACCCTCAATGTTTTTTATTAGTTCACACAAAAAAACATTTTAGAGTATACATAAGGTATCACAGACAGCAACAATAAGTGACAAAAGTCAAAAATTCAAAAACAAATATATATTAAAAATAAGTAGAAAAGCTTCCTTAAAGAGGCCAGTAATATAATTTAAAAAAGAAGATAAGGCTGTCAGCAACATCCTCACCTCACAGACACAGTTCTTGTTACTTGATCACAAAATAGTAGATATATCGGACACCATAGCATTCACTTGTGAAGAAGATATTGCACTAATAATATCGGACTTCAGGTAGATAGTACAATATGCAAGAAGTTAAGACTCCATTGAGATGCGATTATTACGTAAACATTAGAAGAATAGGGAGGACGACTAGTTTTTGTTTGTTTGCCCGTCAGGTAGCGAGCCTCCCACTCCTTTAATGCCTATTATCTAAGTCATTTCTTGTTTAAATTGAAGCAAAAAAACATACGTATCTTATATTTATCTGTTATCTGACTAAATTTCTTTTTTTTTTTACCCAGACTTCATCCCTATCCAGAGTCTGATACAAACAAAAACGTGTCGACTTAGTTTCGCCAGTTTAAACCTGGTATTAAAATTTAGTCCTCGTTTTATAAGACGGCTAGTTTCCGTCGCATTCTTTGTGAAGCGGTAAGCTGAACTTAGCTTGTATAGCGGTAAGCTTATATTCTTAACCAAACGGATTATATGACAGCAAATACATATTACAAGATATTTATTATCTACCATATTCACTCGAACATATCTGCAGCACTGATATATTATGATCGATTTCTCACGTTCCGTTAGTTTGGTTTATATAACTCTTGTATCGCCAAAATCTACAACACCATTGTTGTCCTACAAGAAGGATGGACTGTCCTTAAACTTTCACTCATTGTTAATGTTAAAAGATAAAATGGAGTCAGCGTGTAAGTAAGTATCTTTATTGACCATCACATTACACATTACAATTACAAACAAAAATTAAGTGATACAGAATATAGCAGACGGCAACATACATTTCCCAACCTATTATATATATACATGTGATGGGGTTATTGCAAAATTTTTCACTTTCATAGGGGCTTTGCACTGTTGGCTGTTCTGCAAAATATCAGACTATTACTTCTCAATTTATCATAAGAAAAAATCAAGTATACGAGATATGTCTTCGGCTGGCAATACAGGAATGTCATTTAATAGCATATAAAGTAAAATAACTGGGCTACATTATTTCATTAAATTAATATTCTGTGGCAACATCTATTGCATCACCACAATGAAAGAAAGGCGAATGCGAGTTCGACTTACACCAACGCCTTAAAATACCTTATACGGCGCTATAGACACTCAATATTTGATCACCCATCCCACAACAGGCCTTTCCAAAAGATGCTTAACCTCCGCAATTCGAGATCGCACATTTCAGAGGTAACAATATTCTAATAATTATTATAATTTAAATAACAGTACAAATAAATTATAAAGCTATGATATCGTTCTATTTAGTTTTATTAATATCAAATGTATGTTATTAACTTGATTGATGTTCGTATATTAAGCAATTAAACGGCAGTCAGTTGCTTGACTACGACTGAATGTAATTATATCGTGCCCATCGTGCCCAACAATCTACTTATCAGTAATTTACCATTTTTGTTTTAAAACCTATAAGGCGCTTAAGTAAATCACTAATATCAAATTGACTATGATAAAGGATTCGAGAAGTATGTATATTAATATTATAAAGACGAAAGATTTGATTGTTGATATGTTTGTTTGTTTACAACGAATAAGCTCCGAAACTACTGGACCGATTTTAATAATTCATACAGGTTGATACAGGCTATAATTTACGCGTGCGAAGTCGCAGGAAAACAGCCAGTGTTATATATAATATATTATATAAAATGGAGAGGTTTTATTATTACCTCCATTATTTTAGATTTTCTTAACACAAGCACTGTTTACTTATTGTGATCTAAGTAGTTAACGATAAGTGTAAGTTTACGTTAACTCGTTCACTAGTGAGCGCGTTAAGAATCTATATGGAGATTTGTAGTTCTTGGTAGTTACCGCTAGCGACGCTGTACCGGATTCCATACACTAAAATCTTTCGTACTTACAATAGACAGTGAACGCAATCGTCTAAGCGCTCAGTATTATTCTGCAAAAAGATGGGTGTTATGTTTTCGGAAGAAATAGTTTCTTTTTTTTTTGCGATATTGCAGTAATTATGAAACTCATCAATATAAACATCATTAAGTTCAATTACTTATATTTTAAACAACTGAATTCCTTAGCGTACAATGTATTTTCTAATAATTCTGCAAGCAACATGCGATAGGTTAAATTGACCCCTGCAACACACCGCCTGGACAATATAATCTGTCAGCTCTTAAAATAACGGTAAGCAGTAATTTATAGGGTTCAGATAATAACTGTAGGTGAGCCAGGGCTGCTATGTTTTCCTTTTTTAGTAAGACCAAAAACAATAACATGATTCAGAAAATTATAAACGAAATTTGAAAGGGTGGATGTTATTTTAAAAAGAAACATATACACCAAAATCACAGTAATCATTTTTATATCATAAAATATATAAAATCTGGCAAAGGTGTCATCAACAGCACCTGTAATTTTATTTTTATCACCACATTAGCATTTTTAAAAGGATTATTCTGTCGTAGTAAGTTTTAGAACCAACTTTATGATTCA